GCGCCCACCCGGCGGCCCTGCCCCTATCGGCGTGGAGGAGTTACTGCAAGGGCCGGGCGCGTTTATTGGTAGAGCACGTTTTGTACACACAAAAGCCATTCAAAGTGCTGTGCATGATGCTTTAATACATTCAAGAAAGGAAACACAGCATAAAATCATGTGAAAAGAGTTAGAATAAATCAGATAAATAAATACTAGGTAGATGATGATGTGAAGGTCACGTTTAAACTGTCCCTAAACTGATTTTATTTCTCTTTTTTTTTTGCTCATATGTGAGTCAGATCTTGATTTTTCTACATGACAAATCACCTGCAATCTGATATTTTCAGTTCTGATTCAGACCACTTTCATATGTGGCCCACATCAAATACAGGTCTGATTGTTTTTGGCAGTGTGACCTCAAGTGTGAATCATATCAGAATTCACATGACTTTTTAACATTACTCTGTCACAGACTTGACATTTTTCATGCGGGTCACTTCAGGACTGTGACCTGTTCACACCAGACTCTCATATGGGCCACATTTAAAAAAGTAATGTGAACAAAAAAAAAAAGATCTAAGCAATAAAACAGAATTGAGCGGTAAGGCTGGCAGTATGGATGTAGCTGTAGTGACATAAAGCTGTAAAGCAAAAGATTAACGCTCCAGGAACACTTGGGAGGATAAAGAGCAACTTTATTGTGAGACCAGCACTTCCTTGGCTCGTGGCCTGCACAAGTTCTTTCCGTGCACCTTGGAAGAAGGTGAAGTTGAGATAGAAATCTACTCCAACTCTAAATGAAACTACCCAACCATTACTAGCTATAATATTGAATTATCATGCCTTAATTTAATGATAAAATAACATAATACACATAATAAATACAACAGTATGAAAGGGGTCATTCTGCATAATGAGTATTGTTACCGCACAGAGGAAACTGTAAGGCGGAGTTAATAATGTTAACTATGGGTCTGTTGCATTTAATAGCTGACACATTAATTGGAATGCAGCCATCATTATTGTTGTTAATTACACTTTGCTACAGCATGTTAAAACTATACTATATTACAGCACTTCATATATAATGACAAATGTACCTCTCTGTAATGATGGAAATTCAGACATTGTTGTCCAATTATGTTTTTTTCCAATTTACCTAAAAGCAGAGAATTATTAAATCTCTTCTATTTTGAAGATTGATATAAATTGTATTACTAATAACAACAGAGTTCCTTTAAAAGACACAACTAATGCCACCATCAGTCTTAACTGTGTATTACTATACCGCAGTACGCAGTAGAGTACTTCATAATGGGTGAAACTGGCTTATCTAAGATTTCACAACACCTTTCAGTTTTTAACGTAGCCTATGGCAACACCAGCATGACCTACACTATATATAACACAAATAGCTCCATAACATAGGCTCAATGGGGAAGTAGCTAAAGTTTCAAAACTCTCTGTTCTAGCTGTTGACCACAGTCTGTTCAGAAGATGACACCATAATAAGTTCTGTTTGTGAACATAAAGCGCCCACTGTCACGCCCTTACAACACCGCTTACCTGTCCAGAGCTAATGTTAATTGCCTCAGATTAAGTAAAGCGTTGAGTTATTTTGGCAAATATCCAATATGAACATGAAGTGAGGAGGTTTGGCCAGTTTATTATTCAACCCATCATGCTCACGTGCTTATAGAACGAGATACAGCAGAGTGGAATTTCCAGCGCTCCAGTCATTGTATTAAAGGAGCCATCAGGAAGAAACCACTTACAGGCAAACAAAAGAGGCACCTTACAAAAGCAACTAACAGGAAATAAATAAAAGAACTAGGGTTTTTTTTTAAATGAGATAGCTTTGTCATGAAGTCTGCTCATTACAGTCTACCCTATACATATCATACTCATCACATGACTGTATGTTTGCATGTCTGAAATATTTTTTATGAAGCACACAAACACTCATACCACTGACACACGTAAACAAGAAGGTTGAAATTTAACCAGAAGAGAGCACAATATGTTTTTTTATTTTTTATTTTTATTACAAAATAAATGAACTGCTTATATTAACTAGAATCAGCAGTGTAGTTACACCTCAAAGAACATTAACAGTTTATTGCAGATTAAAGATGAGATAAATAGTGAAAACGGTCTCACAATATGAAGAAGCAAACCCAGCAAATCAAAAAGGTGAAGCTGCACTGTGCGTTACATATTACATTTCTATGTGGGCTACCAGTTTCTTAACAAATAGTGAGGGGTTAATTAGTTTGTCTTTATAAGTTTGCAGGCCTTTTTGGCAGCATACTGTTAGTAAATGGATGATTAATTTAGCCTCAGATCGAGTTCTTTCTGCACAATGAAAGGCCACATTTTCAGAGATATAAACATGTTATGATACAAATGCAATCGTAGCACTGATAAAGTTTGAGAAATCATGAAACAATGCGATCTGAATGTTCCATTCTTAGTCATTAAAATTAGGTTAATGTCATCAAGAGGTAGAATTTCTTATGGACGTTGAAAATGTTGACAGAAAGCTTGGCACTTACATTGAGGCGGCTTTTTGTTCCAACCCCTTCACAGAGGCATGCGAAAGGAAGCAAAGTAACTGAGCCAATAGACTATCAGTGTTCAGTTAAGCAGAATCAATCTCTTTGTCAGAGGGAATTAAGATTTATCTCGTGGTATATTTCTCTAGACAATAAGTAAATACAGATCAAATCAGAACTTACTACAAAACGTCAGCTCAAAT